GGGAGCGGTGCACTTGGACACGGTGCATTTGGACACAGCCAATCACAGCACCGTGTGATTAGAGACATTTGTAGGGTCCCTTGGAACAGCGACTTGTGATTGGACTGTGTCCAATTGCCCCGTGTCCAACTGATATACACTCCTACAATACGCTGTAAGCTGGAACCGGATGTCGCTAATCGCTTGTCGAATGTCGTATGTCGGATTTAAATACGACTTACTATTCTACAATTGAGTCGAAAGTTGGAATAGATGTAAGCAATGGATACTAAAGCATTGAGTGTTTATTTAAATTTATTATCAATTTGGACGCAAACTATAAGATTATTATTATTAAAGAAATGTAAAAAAGAATAACAAGAAGATGGTGAGTTAAACCTCATATTAGTGCAAACATGAGACAAAATTTTGGTACCCATCAAAAGTTATTTATATATTTTAAAATTCATATTGCGTTTATCACCCAGATAGCACGATGAATTCTTTAAATGTTCTTAAACTTTCCTCCTTTCCTGAATTGTACTTTTTTAGGAATTCGTGGAAGAATACTATAAGAAAGATTTAGTTACATGCACTATGACTAATGGAGTTCCTCTGAACTTCTAAAATAAACTCGGAATTGGTGACTGAATTCTTTTTGAATTCTCTGTGCTATCTGGGGTATTTACATTTAAAAGTTCATAATTCAACATAATTTTTGTACTTTTATTAATGAATAAATATAATATTTATACTAAAATAACTAAAAAAAATTGATAAATAATATTTGATATATAATAAATAAATATTAATATATAATATTTATCTTCTAAAATAATACTTCGTAGCTTAATACAAGATTGGAAACTTCCCTGATAGCATCGGATGTAATAATGTCGTAACGACGTGCTTATAACGTTCTTGACACGTCTGTGCAGACAGGGTTACTAATCCATGGTAACCCTCGTCGATATTTGAGATACGACGCAGCAGAACATTGACTACTTGGTTTCTAGAGAGACGTATGTCTCAACTGTTATACTGACCCGAAACTAACCCCGAATATTTTTCCCTAAGCACTTAGTCACTATTGCCGAACTATCATATAAGTGATAATAATTGTGCAATTGTTTATGACAACGAATATGTGTTTATAACAACGGTGATCGACATGAAATTATTAACACATTTCGCTATAAATGCTTGCAGACATATAGGATACCGCGGAGTCATCTTACCTACTTCCTCTCGCTATTCAAGAAAAATGGCGACTGAGGTGGAGAAGGCACAATCCGCCGCTCCAAGCGGTGATACGATATTTGGGAAAATAATACGTAAGGAGATCCCATGTGTGTTTCTTTACGAAGATGACAAGGTAAACTATAATTTAAACTAACGTATCAAAAGTTGTATGCGTTTTGTGGAACTTTGGGTTGATTTTTCCAACCTCTTGGTAAGCTAATTCCTTTTAGTATTAACAATTATATGTTGACGTAACATGTCTGTCTTGGTCTAATTTGAAGGGAAAACAAAGACATATGATTTAACTTTTAATTTACCAAGAGCTTGGGAAAGTCGGTTTTTTGTAATAGATTCGTGACTTACTGGCATCTCTATATATATATTTATCATTCTTGTTTATGACATAATTGTATGTTCTATTTTGCTGAGTTATCATATCAAATTGCTCTCTAATCAGTGTAAAAGTGGAATATACAATCGTTACAATATAATTAATAATGTCTATTTTACAGTGTGTTGCATTTAATGATATAAATCCTCAAGCACCTGTGCATTTTCTGGTGATTCCAAAAAAGCCAATCCAGCAACTGTCCAAGGCCGAAGATGAGGATAAAGATTTACTTGGTCACTTGATGATAGTTGCTCGTACAGTTGCTAAACAGAAAGACTTGAAAGATGGATATCGTTTAGTTATTAACGATGGAAAAAATGGTGCGCAATCTGTATATCATCTACACTTGCATGTTCTTGGTGGTCGGCAGTTGCACTGGCCACCTGGTTAACACCATATTGTTGATGTGATTAAATACATAAAGATGACTCTTCAGTGAAGCATCGTTTTACTAAAAACAATGTTATTTTATGAAAAACTCTATAAAATATTCTATTGCATAAGTTTGTTGAGAGATTTATTAAAAAATGATTTATTTTTATACAAAAATAGATTTTTTTTTGTATAATTGGAATGTTCAAATAATTGCCACACTATCTTTTTTCATATACTTCGTATACAAATTCAATTCCGTTCTCCTCTTGCACATCTTGTGGTACTGCTGGATCTCTGCAATTGGATATAATTAATAAAGAAAAATTACTAAATGTGTGTAACATCAAACAATATAGATGACTATAAATACTTACTGTATCAGCACGAAATTATCCGGAATAGGTGGGAAAAATGTGTCACATTCAAAATTTTTTCTTACACGCGTAAGATACAATCGATTGAAATATGGCGATTCCATGGCTTCCTAGAATGGAATTGCGCGATAATTTGATTCAAGTGTAAATTAAGTCAGATATTTGTGGCGATAATTTATCGACACATTGCTATATGTAATTGATATGAAATACCTTGTATACTCTACTTCCACCTATTACCCATACTTTTTCCACTTTACTTTTCATATCTGCGATTGTCTCAAGAGCATCTAGCATACTTTCGCATACTATTGCCTTATCTCCGTAATCCCTAAAATTGACGTAACAACCGTTTAATAATTTTTTTCAACAACATTACGTCTTTTATCGTATTGATTAGTCCGTTTATAATTACACTGATTGCGACGTTAACACTATATTTATGCGGTCTTTCAGAGGTTTGTACTTTTTAGGCAAGCAATCCCACGTGCGCCGTCCCATAAGTACGACGTTCTTTTTATTGTTGTCTTTTGTCTTGGTTGTCATGCGTGTAAAGTACTCCATTTCGGTTCTACAAATAGATTAGCTATATTTGGAGAAATGCTCTCAAAGTTTTCAACAGTGGTGTCTCGATGGACAATTCTTAATAGACTTACTTTAAACGCCACGGTAGATTGCCCTTTATTCCAATGCCCATATTTTCGCATGCCGCAGCAATCAATTCTAATTTGGGTAGCATAGCAAGACGGCAATAAAGTAGGGAGGCTTCAATCTTAGATCTAGACCATACAATAGTAAACATTAATTTATCGATTAGGAAATTACAGTTATTAATATAGAATTTAATGTCAAATTTAACGACAAATCGATAAATGTTTCAGTATTACAATGCAGTATAGTATACATTACAATTTTCGTTGGGTAAATCCGCTTTTCCTAATCTGCTGATCTATTATATTTGATTTATATACAAATGCTATATAAACAGTAAAATTAATAATTTATGTCAATTTAAGGCTTCTGGCTAGTCAAATGACAAGTTTGTGTTGACGGTGGCGATACAGTCATCAGTGGTAGGATTAAGAACTTCGTTCATCGTAGTTACCGTATGGTAAAGCGAATTATGTATGTATATGTGTGTAAACAGCCACCTAAATTTTGTCGTCCGAATCACAGCGTTATTACTGACTGTAGTGCTTAGATATCACACATAACATAATTGCGGAAGTGTGAAAATTGTCCGGACTACTGTGTTTTTTGTAATATTTTAAATATAATAGTACTTATTCTATTATATTTCGCACCGAGTCTCACAGCTAATCTTCTGTCAAAATAAGTCGATTTCCATATATGTATTTTGCGGTGTAAAGGTAATGTTGTAAAAATTATTTCAGGAAAAGAATACTGTTCGGGGCATTTTACGAGTGTGTAGAATCGATTGCAAGTGTCATTTTGTTAACATATCTTTTTATTTAGCAATGATTCGGACGCAATTTAGATCTGCAATTTCTCACTTCTGACGTCCAATCAATACTGCCGCAATACTTTAGAACGCAACCTAAGAAAGTAAATTTTAGCGTCATTTGTCACGTTGATTATTACGAAATACGATTATATATTAAATTCCTCAACATTTTATTAAGATACATATAAAACTGTAAACGATATTATATATAGCTTACTTGACCTGCTCTCGTGTAGTTATCAGAAAGGAACCTGAAAGTGACTACTCTGTAACGGCTTAAGGCCATCACACAAAATTACATAGACGCATATGCATAGCATAAGATCGTATGGACCAATGAGCATCGAAAATTAAGCATCGAACACCAATATGGCGACTTAATACTCGATGCTCATTGGTCCATACGATCTTATGCTATGCATATGCAGTTATGTCAATTTGTGTGCGATAGCCCTAATTTTGTATGTGACGGTCCTTATCTTTAGTAGAATTATATACATATATAGAGTTCACTGTCAGTACTGAAATTCTATAATACGTAACATGAACTATAGATTTTCAGTACTAGCAATGCATTTCAGAATACAGCCTCTATCATATTCCGCACCGAGTCTCACAGCTGATTTCCTGTCAAAATAAGCCGATTTTCACATGTATATTTAGCAGTGTAAAGGTTATTTCAGAAAATGAACACTACCCGAAGTATTTTACGAGCGTGTAGGATTGATTGCAAGTGTTTCTTTGTTAACATATCTTTTTATTTTGTAATGATTCGGGCGCAAAATTCGTGTGCAATTTCTCGCTTCTGACGTCATCAACCAATATGGCCGCGGTAACTAACCAGGAGTTTTAAGATTATGAACAAACGTTTAAGTTATAAAAAAATATATATTTTTTCTCATTTATTAGTATTTACTTATCGACTTATTATTAGGAAAAACAAAGCAAAGATGGTTCCTAATTCGGAGATTCAGCTTACGTTTAGAAATCTGCGCTCCCGCACCCTCCTCAAAACTAACCTAACTCAATCTATCGTCATATTAGCCGTTAGTCATTGTTTATTAAAATATTATTAAGAAAAAAAGTTGAACATTTTAATAAACAATGACTGACAGTTAATGTAACGATAGGTTGGGTTAGGTTAGTTTTGAAGGGGGTGCGGGCGGCACAGTCCCCCGCTAGTTGTTCGATATTGCAATTACATAATGTGATTAAAAGATCAATAATTTGTTTAAATTGTGGGAAAGCAGCAACGTTTGACAACCCTTATAGAAATATCATACTAAGAATCATTGATAATTACTTATTTTCAGTATTAAAAATACTGGATAATAAGTAATTATCAATGGGTGTGTTCAGCGAACTCAACAGTTGCACAACAGTTGAGCAATTCGTCAATATAATTGGTCTAAAATTAGAGATCTAACAGTAAGGACCAATAATCACTGATCGCTCACTAATCAGCTATGTTTTCTGAACGCAGCCAATGATTCTTAGTATGATATTTCTATAAGGGAGTGAAAAAAAAAATAAAAAGAAAGTTAAAACAATATATAACTTGCATATTTTTCGGACTCCCCCGATTGATTATCAATGTTGGAGTCAAAATAAATATTTTTACCAAAAGAGCTGAAAAAAATATCAAAATTCGAAAAAGCCTTATTGTAATTACCCGAAAAAGAACCAGGAGTATTGAAATACTAGATAGTACACCGATTGTGCCTGACCGATTGGTACTTCCACAGTAGCGCTTGAAATCAATATTTCGGCCAAATATATGATTTTTTAATGTTTAATTAAAATTATTTGGATGACTCACAAACCTTTTTAATGATACTTCATATCTCTTCATACGAAATACAAATGATACAATACCGAACCTTGTTTAATTTACCTCCGCCCTTATAGAAATATCATACTAAGAATCATTGATAATTACTTATTATTCAGTATTTTTAATACTGAAAATAAGTAATTATCAATGATTCTTAGTATGATATTTCTATAAAGGCGGTCCACGTCGTCTATGGACGACGTGGAATTATTTTCGGTTAAATACATGGTCCAAAAAAGAACAATTAATTACAAGTAATAGAATGACTCACAAATCTTTTTAATTGCACTTCAAAACTCTTCATACGAAATACAAACGATTTAAAAAAATAATTTTCCAACCGGAGTTTTTTTCCGGTCAAGTACATACGAATTAAGTACTGTCTTAAAATGTTATGAACCAATCACAGAGCCGTAATCGCATCTTAAGACATTACTTAAGACGGTTTTGAAATTAGATTCGACTATAAATACTGATCTTAGAGTTTCTAGAATATAGAGTCTGGCCATTCGTAGACTTCTTTTCATTGGTTTAGATCTGCGTTCCCTCACAATAGCGGAACGAATCAAAATGTAACGGGAACGTACATCCGTTTAAAGAATATATATATATATATAAATGAGAGAGAAATATTATTGGAAAGGAAAATTATTTTAGTATTTGGATTGCTAATATGAACTTCAGTCTAAAATAAAACAACCTTATCATTCATTGCAAACTTACTGTAAACGTATATATTTTTAACAATATACTTCTTATTAAAAAATATAAAATACATTTTATTTAAAACTTGCATGTGAACAAGCAGAACCAATGTCATTTGTATCTAAAGAGGCACTCTATTTATATTTTTATTTGATTTATTTTCCAAAGAAATTGTTGGAATTGCGAGGCTTTTCCCGCATCTCTGGTGGAAAATATACCTATTGTATATTAATATAGTTTGTTAATGTATAAATGCTAAAGAATAACGGAGTGCGGAACGAGAGCAGAATCAATCACGAGCGGAAGGAATGGCTGCGTTCAGAAAACATAGCTGATCAGTGAGCGGTCAGTGATTATTGGTCCTTACTGTTAGATCCCTAACTTTAGACCAATTGCGTTGACTAATTACTCAACCGTTGTGCAACAGTTGTGTCTTCTGAACGCACCCAATGACGACCGAAAACTATGGAACGCTAATGGAAGATTCACACCGCGTACGACGTCCAATATCCAATAGGAGAACAGCTTTCCAATGGAGAATTGAATTCTCTAATAGAAAGTTGTTCTCTTATTGGATATCGAACGTCGTACATCGGATATTGGACGCGGTGTGAATCCTGCATAAGGCCGACCGTCTTTTTTAGTACCTCGTCGGTGGTTCTCTTAAGCGGAGAACACATACTCTTCCATAAAGACATAATGCACAACGCATGAAAAAATAGACCAATCAGAGTCCTTCATTTTCATCATGGCAATAGAAATGAGAACTCTGACTGGTCAATTTTCTTATGCGTTATGCATTATGCCTTTATGCAAGAGTGTGTGCTCCCCACTTTAGCATAATCGACTTGTGGCAGCACAATCTACACAATCAGCTCCAGAAGTGCCAGAAGTTGTCGTAACACACAAACATTTATCATTTTCAACAGCGAACGTGCTTCGGACCGCACACTTTTTCACTTACAAATCGTTTGTAAACATTTCTGAGAATTTAAGATAGTTACAAGTAAGTTAAAAAAAAATGTGAATAATAATGGATTCTATAGTTGTAAGTACAGTATTTGCAATGAATCGTGTTAAACTGCCAGTGTCGTATTCGTGCTTTTCAAGTACATTATGTACATTTAAAAAAGTAACTAATTGATTATTAATTCTATATCTGAATTATCAACTGTATAACTAACGTTAATCTGATATTATTTGTAGAATATGATTGTTGTTATAAAATCTGATTATTTGTCAAGGTTATGTTTTAATATGACTTATTGTAATAAAACAGCATGCTTTTTTAAAATAACTAATTGCAATACGTAATAAATCTTGTGTACTTCAGAATGTCGGGTCGAGATGGAGGTAAGAAGAAGCCCTTGAAGACACCAAAGAAGGAATCAAAAGTTTTAGATGATGAAGATGTCGCATTTAAGCAGAAGCAGAAGGAACAACAAAAGGCACTTGCTGAAGCAGCGAAGAAAGCCAGTCAGAAGGGTCCTTTAGTCACTGGTGGTATAAAAAAATCTGGGAAAAAATGATCATTTTGTAACAGATGAAATTTGCAATTTATACTACATCTTATATCTTGACTGTAATATTAATTTGTGATTTATTATTATATCAGGTTAAATCTTTTTTATGGTTCTTCATTTCAAGAAATGCTTTAAACTTATAAATAAGAAATATATTTCATTATATGCATTCTATAAGTTTTTATATTAATGATATAAGTTGAACCTATTGATTAATAGATTTTTTATGCATGTCACATCGAATATTAAATTATGAGAGGAAAAAATAAAGGATTTATAAAAAAATTATAAGAGTAACTCAAAAGCCTGTATCAGACTTGATTTTGAAATTGAGAATTGCACATTTGATTAGGCCTGGATGCAACATTATTATGACTTCAAGCGAGACTTAAACATACGTATATCTTTATCGTTTTTCTAAATAAATAAAGTGAACATTTGTAACGCATATATTTAAGTCTCGCTTAAAATCAAAATAATGTAAAATAATGCAAATCGAGCCTTAGAAGATTAGATCGATTAAAGGATTAGATTAGAAAATTCGATGATCAATTAATTTCAACTTCGTCCCGATTGGTCAAATTCTAATTTTCAATTTGTTATTCTCGATTTTTAATACCTAGTCTGACATGGACTAAAGCCCGTGTCACACTATGGTTTGGAGATAAAGGATTGCGGTTTGAAAATTGGAACTCGACCAATTGGAGCTAAGCAGGCCAAGACCAAAGTGCATTGATTCAATGACGTACATACATAGACCAAGCATTCTGTCCGCAAAGTGAAGCCGGAAGCTTGCAGTTTAAAACAGAGTGAAAAAGTTGATTTGCTCCTAGTGCTTTCTCACTCCATATTATTGACCCTGTTACGTCCACGATAGATAACTATATAGGGAAATTTGAAAGTAGTGAAATCAGTGACTTACGTGGACGGTCAACAGAGTGATGGCTCCGCTTTTGGGTCACTCTGCTTTTCACCGAGTTTACCCTGGGTCTCGGGAGCCTGGCGAAACGATTGATGAATCTGGCGAAAAATCAGCGGTGCTTGTTCTCCTGGCTCGGCCTCGGATGTTCCGATACCACGCGGGTTGATGCGGCCCGCGATTCAGAATTTGATTTCGCAACGTTTGAAATATGAAGGGTAGGCAAAAGTAATTGCAACACAGTCGGATTTTACGACTAAGTATAATATACTGAATAAGTACACGAAGCTACCAGAGACTAACTATGAGAAGAAAATAATTGCCTTCTCTATAAATGCGCGCGCTTTTATATGTCGCTTTGTCGCTGAGAGTCGTTCTCCGATTGGTCCATGGAGTTATGGCGAGGGAAGAGATTCATTTCTTTGCATGATGTCACCGCGTCGGTGTCCTGAGTGGTGTTTGGGATTCAGTTTTCATGCTCCTGTTTATGTTGGCTTATCGCACTGAGCGATAGCGGTTTCTTTGGGTCGATCCGTTGATTTCGAGACTCTCCAGCAGCACGCAGCATTTTAATTATAATGTTTTAACGCTCGCGAATATGCATATGCGCACGTACTTACATCTAGTAACGTAGGGATAAAATATCTAGTGATGTCTGAAATCAGACAAGTTGGCCTCCCGGTCTATAATAATATATTATTAATGTTCTAAAATAGATCCGGACGTTACAACTGTCAAGAAGTAGGGCCCGTTTAACACTGAAAATACATTAAAACATTAAATAAAGCAATGTGATTGATCTATTCGTAGCTTTGAAGCACCTAATGGCAACACTAAATGGAACTATTTACAACATTAAACCTTATCCAAGAACTGTATCCCGTCACAGCAACCTAACCTAATCTTTTTCATTTGACAGTGGAATGAGAACAGGATAAGAGAAATTGCTGTGATTATTTTATAAATAATGATGAATAAGAATGATTGTTTTATAAATAATCACAACATAAAATATTATAAATATCAATTTTATGTCGAGATAAGTGAAATATACGATTTTATTTTTTTAATTCTGCACTAAAAGTTGGGTCTCGAAATTCACTGCCAGTATTGAAAATCTATAGTTCATGTCACGTATACTATAGAATTTCAATACTGGCAGCACAAATGTCTATACTAGATCGCTAGCTTCGTCAAAAGAGCTGAGGCCGGCCGGATATCCGGATTCAGTTATGATACTTTACAACAAAATGGCGACGGTATATATACAGGGTGTCCCATTTTAATCGATTATCTCAAATATCTCTTGAACAGTGCATTTTAGGGAAAAATGTTTTAGATAAAAGTTTTGAAATTTCGAGGGGGACATAAGATGATATTATTGGTTTGATCTTGAGTGGCGTCATCAAGGTCAGGACAAGGTCACCTTGAATTTTTTAAAGGAACCTCCCATTTTTCATTATATATTCTTATAGCATACCTCGAGAGCTTTCTAAAACACTAATTAAATATTTTTTCATTAAGTATCTTTCGAGTTAAAAGGCTTCAAAGTTACAATATTGTTACCATTACCATTGGTACTCAAAATGTTCGACCGACGGCTAAAACCTTTTGAATGTTGTTCAGGGTCATGACCTTGACAAATGTTGTTAAAAATTTAAAATGTTGTTAAAAGATTTTAGACGTCGGTCGAACACCTTGGGAACCAATGCTAACAATATTTTAACTTTGAAGCCTTTTAACTCAAAAGATACTTAATGACAAAATATTTTATTAGTGTTTTAAAAAGCTCTCGAGGTATGCTATAAGAATATATAATGAAAAGTGGGGGGTTCCTTTTAAAAAATTCAAAGTGACCTTGTCCTGACCTTGACGACGCCACTCAAGATCAAACTAATGATACCATCTTATGTCCTCCTCGAAATCTCAAAACTTTTATCTGAAACATTTTTCCCTAAAATCCACTGTTCAGAGATATTTGAGGTGATCGATTAAAATGGGACACCCTGTATAGTGCACATGTGACATTCGGCATGTTAATGGCTGTTTCCGATAATACCTTTCCCAATCATTTTCCTAGAGCAGAAATAAGTTACAGACATCATCATCTGCTACTATTATGTGATTCATGACAACCCAAAGCTACCTAATGCTGTCTCACGACTGCAAGCAGTGGGTTAGGCAGAACAATACCGTGACAAATACACGAGATAATAATTTTGTAAAATTGTATTATTGATTATAAAATCATCTAGTGTTGTTTTCTAATAAAATTTTATTTATTCTTGGTAATTATGAAGTTTAGCACCACCACCTCCGATTTTGACAAAACTAGGCTCAATCGACGCGTTTTTTTTTAAAAAGAAACAACTTTTTCCTTTAACAAAATCGTCGCTCTCTACTACGAAGCGAGATATTAATAGACAAATCTGAGCGCGTGTTAGGTTAGAAAATCTGTCAGTTACCTTATTCTTAATTAAAGAGTTATATAACCATTAAAATATATATTATATTTTTCAAATATTATCCTAAAGTAAAAACATACTGTTTTAACCTATTTGCAAATATTGTTTTTACATGAGTCGTGCATGTGCAAGTCCACAATAAATTATGCCATTAATGACAAAACAAGATAGATTTATTTGCATAGTTTGTTTTAAATGATATGTAATTCTACAAACGTTTCTTAATATTACTATTTTTTAACATTATTTGAGTTATTTTTTTATACTTTAATACTCATTACAACTAAACATTTTTAGATAAAAAATGGATGTACTAGAAATGTGGGAAATATTTTTTGATCACCCATCTGATGAAGATGAGGATAACTTCCAACCTCCACAGGAACATCATATAAAGATCCCACATTTTTTTGAAAACATTGTCGTAGCATATTCATTGACAGGTAAAAGAATTTGAAATTTTGTTGTAATATAATAATTTATTGTTTTAAGTTTATATAAATGTTCTTGCATTATATGTTTTGATTACAATAAACTATATTAACATTATTAAAATAGATTTTAAATCTATCTTGTTTTGTTATCAATATACCCTAATGGCATAATTTATTGTAGACCTGCACCTGCACGAGTCATGTAAAAACAATACTTACAAATAGGTTAAAACTGTGTGACTTTTGTTTTAGGATAATATTTAAAAAATATAATATATATTTTAATGGGTATATAATTTTAATTAAGAATAAATAAAATTTTATTAGAAAACAACACCAGATGATTTTATAATCAATAATACAATTTTAAAAAATTATCTCGTGTATTTGTCACGGTATTGTTCTGCTTAATCCACTGCTTGCAGTCATGAGACAGCATTAGATAGCTTTGAGTTGTCATGAATCACATAATAGTAGTAGGTGGTGATATCTGTAACTTATTTCTGCTCTAGGGAAATATCTCGGAGAGATATTGGATGTTTACGTTAAATCGAGTACGAGTTAGTTCCACTAGGGTCGAAAAATGTAATACGCACAACCATCTAGTATCTTCATAGTTCAAGACAACTTAGTACTACTTTCCGATGCTAGAGTAGAGTTAGTTAGAGTTAGCTAGAGTAGCATAGCGGATAACATGAGCATCAGGTAGTTAATTTTCAAAAAATGTTAGTTATTAATAAGTTTAACCTCATATAGTATGTTTATATCGAACGTTTAATACGCGTATCAATTAGTAAGTTTATATTTAATTATTCTAATTTCGGCGATGCAATATATTCAAATACGATATGTGTTTCTAATCAATATTGCACTACTTCAATATGACATTGTTTATATATATCGCCGAAATCAAAATAATTCAACATAAAATTACTAATTGGTACGCGTATTAAACATTCGGTATAAACATATTATATAAGAATAAACTTATTAATAACTAACATTTTTTGAAAATCAACTACCTGATGCTCACGTTATACTACTCTAGCTAACTCTGACTAACTCTACTCGAGCATCGGAAAGCAGTACTGAGTTGTCTTGAACCATGAAGATACTAGATGGTTGTGCTTATTACATTTTTCGACCGTAGTGGAACTAACTCATACTCGATTTATCGTAAACACTCATTATCGGAAACACCCAATATATATAGTATGGTGATATTTACAATTATAAGTGAAAATATATCAAAATGCCGAGCAGTTGTTGCATTCTGAAATGCAAAAACACTACAAAAGATTTGATTTTATTACAGTTGAAAAAGAAATAAAAATATTCTCGTACGTCTCAT